ATATGTTCAGTTTCTCAGATGATACACACTAAGGCTTTTAACTTGAGTAACTAAACATTTTAAGCAGTGCGATTTATAACTAAATTGGTTGTCTGACTAAATCCTTGAATTTGCTTTAAAACTACTGTTCAGCAACTGAAGTTTCAGATTAAGTCATCAAAAATGCTGAGATTCTTTGAGCTGTTAAATGAAGTTGATAAATTATTTTTTTAATGGCAAAAACTTCCTGTCGGATTTTATTAGGGACTGTTGATGTGCATGTGGCAGAATAAAAGGCTCATTTGTTGTGCAATATTTAGTGCATTTGAAAATGAGTTGCTATGATCTGTCTAAAGCATTTGTAAAGAGGATCCTTCAGAGAGTAAGAAACTCCTAATTTTTGAAATCATGATGTTGTTTTTTGGAGGTTGGAAAGGACCTCAATATCTGGATGCAAGGAATCTTAGATGTGGCTAGACAAATAGGGTTTGACATGAATTATTAAACGTAAGAGTAAAAAATGGGCATTTCAGCAAGCCATCTTTCCTATTTTTGTAACTAGCTTTCCGTTTAAAAATGAAGAAGCTTCCTCTTGTGTTCTGCAGGGCAAAAGCATTTCTTTGTCACTGGAGAAAACAGTGTGTCTCATGGGAGTGGACACTGATGGTAAACACCATGGTGTTGAATGCCAAAGCAAAAATATGGAAGTTACTTCTCTCTGATGTTGTTTTTGCCAAGTTGATGGTTACCTAGAGAGCCAAAAGTGAAGTGAAACAAAGGAGCGCTTCTTAGCAGTTGCACATAGGCATCTTGATAAAGATGATGAAAGAAATCTAATGCTTCATGGTAATATTAAGTCAGTCCTGAGAACTGGCCAGAACTCTGGAACTCCTGGCCCCAGCTTGAAAGGCAAAGAGCCAGAAGGGCTCTGGTGAGTGTCCTGCATCTTTGAGCTCCAGTGTCCCAGGTTGTTCAGAATGCCTTTACCAGGTTTACTGTGCTTGCATTACTTTGCCTTTTAAGGCTGATATTACATATGACAGCCTAGAGAAAGATTTAGGGGAGTAATGCTTTTGCTTTCTCATACCAGCTTGCAGTGCTGTAGATTTTTCCACAATAAGAAAATGGTGTTGGAAAATGAGGTTTTCTGTGAAGCACCATGAAAGAAACAGTGTGCCTCTTCTATACTAGTGAACAGCTTTGTGGCTTCAGTCTCTCTTCTCAGTGCCTTGACTTCTGCTTGGCACTGGATTTTTTAACTGTATTTTGATGCATTTGAAAATTGATACTAGTGTGGGCAGGTGTCGTGGTTAAGAAGAGTTCTACACATGGAGAATACAAGATAAGTGATGAATAAATTTTTCTGGCTGCCCAAAAGTTTTCTGGTAGAATCTGAACCAAAGACTTGCAGCTTATAGAACCCCAGATGGTTTGAGGCTGACTTCGTGAAATTTGTTTTATGTCGCCACAGCTGAGACTAGCTGGATTTCTTGCTTCTCTGTTTCTTAGGGTGGCTTAAAGGTTGGGATTTTGTTTGGTTTTGTCTGGGTTTTTTTGTTGGATGTTGTTTTTTTAAGGTATTCCCTTTATTTGCATTTCTTGGCACTCCTGTTAGCCTTTGAACTCCATTATTTTCCTCTCTGACAGACTGCTGAGGTGGGTGTGTTTATGGGTAGTTCTTAAGTCCATGTCTGTGCTGTAATTTTTAATTAGATAGGCAGCCAGAACATCGACTAAATATCTCCTAATGTATTTTATATAATTAAACCCAAAAAAAAGCCCATACTTGTCCATTGTTCTTCTAAAATGTATTTCTTCCCATAGTGCTTGTATATTGCAGATCAGCTTTGACTTTTGTCCATCTTGCTTCTTTAGTAGCTTAAAAAGAAATGAAGTATGCCAGATAAAAGTTGCTGTGATAATGAGGAAAATTGAACTAGGTAACTGTGTAAGTTATTATTTTATGTAGCATATAGAGGCCATAGAGCTGGCCAGGTGGTTGGTTTGGCATGGGCTAGATTCTGAAAGCATCGAGAGCATTTCACTGCAGAGAAAGGAATGTCTTTTGTTTGGTTAAATGACAAGTGCGTGACCCCTTTCTCCTGTAAAAGTGTCTTGTGTTCTGCTAGCAAGTGACTGCAAACCTTTTATCAATTATTATTTAGGCTGCTATCTTTATGAAGGAAGCTGGAAGCTGTAAAAATACTGTCACTTCACAGCCAGCATTTAAAAATACATTTTTATATTTGTGTTACTTAAAGATGATGCTCGTGAATGTAGTCCTAAGCCTTCTGTCTTGCTTGTCAGTACCACACCAGCGGTGTTGTCCTTAGTTACCATACAACAAACTTGTGCTTTCTTACAGTAGCTTGCAGTGACTCTTATTTTCAGTCATGTCTTGCTAATGAAGGTAATGTCTTTGTTCAGATCTGTTCTTGTAGATACAGTTGCTAAAACAAGAACTTTGCTGCCCGTTATGTTGTCTTTTTATTTCATAGTTCTGCATCTTCTTTTAATTTTTCTTCTCCCTTGGTCCTTATGCTTTCCAAGACTTTTACCTGAATTCTTAGCTTGTTTACTTTGTCAGTCGACAAGCAATTTCTTTTTACACTTAGTGTGTTAAACGGAATGTGCATGTTTTCTTGATGATGTGTTTCTGTCTGTGGAGAAATTTCCTTTCTCTGTAGGAAGACTGGATTTTTGATTAGTCACTAGTCCTTTTGATTGAGGTTTATTGTTGCTGACTAAATTCAGTAACTGGAACATGTTGAACTTCTATTTATGGTTACTAAAATTGAGAAGTCTATATGCTGGCTTGACAAAATACATCTTTGCTGGGTGAGACTTTTTCAAGGACTGTTTTCTGTTGGTGGAGGTTAACCACTGATTACAAAGAGGCCTTGGAATCATTCTCTGTGGGACACTTAGGGCAAATTACTCCTCATGTCGTTGCTCATTGCAGACTGACATTTGTACAAGGACAGGGTCAGACAGAAGAGAGCTAAGTTACCCCTTGCTCTTTCCAGATGCTGTGAGCCAGCTGTGGTGTTCCTGCTGGAAAGGGAAATTTTAAGTTGTTGCTGAAAGTAGATGATTGCTGCCTGCTGCATGAATGGTTTTTGTTTAATCAGCATGGATTTATTTAAGTAGCAAGAGAGTTTTCAAAGATGACTCCTTCGTGCTCTCTGGCTGCTGGGGAATAACCCCTCAAGAACGGTGCTGTGCCCATTTGCCTCTTGGTGTTATTCCTCGTGAAGGCTGGGTCCTGCATTGCAAATGATGCTTTTAGGGTTTTTTGCTGTGATTACTCTGTGCATGGATGCAATTGCACCTTTACTTGGTTCCAGAGTGCCTGCGTTAGGTTAAATGAAACACTGGCCTGTGATGTTTTCAGCTATGTACCTGGAAGTTTTGGGGGTTTGTTTTATTCCTACTCCCTCCCCCCTTGAGCTTCAAAGTAACCTAGGTCTTATTGAAGGCTTTTGATTCTCAGATATTTTTAGATGTAGGTGTCTTTCACAGCTATAGCAGTCCATCAATTCTGGCTTTTAACTACAGGATCCTCTTAAACAAATTTTGATTAACGAAAGAGGAGTAAGAGCAGTTAGAGCTTATTCTAATTTAAGTGGCTAGGGACTATCACCAAAAAGGGGAGGAAGGAGACAACTTACTGTAAATACCACAGAAGTATTTTTAATACTTTCTCCTGGAACTCTGGCAGTTGTTACGTTAGGCTGTTTTGAACTTGCACATGTTTTAAATTAAATATATATAAATAAATGTTGGAAGAACGTGTTATCTTTGGTACTTTCTGTTCTGCGGATGAAAAAAACCTAAGCCTTTTGCTGTACATAATTTTAGTGTGCAACTAAAGAGTTCTGAAAACATTAAAAATTAAAACAAAGCCTGAGCTGAAAA